TATATATATATGAGGACTATTTTCTGGAAGTTGTCACGTGAATATTGAGTAGATGGTGACATGCAGACTCTTCTAGAGCTACATTCTTTGCTGGTGTGAAAGTTAGAACAATTACAGGCCAAATCATTCATGGGTGAGTGAACAGTGGTCTGAGGTGGCCAAATTCTTGGTCACATGGCCCAGCAGAACTGATTAAATTAATATAAAATATAAGATTTTGCATTCTACATATTTGCATTTGTATTCTTCCCAAACTCAGCCGTAGGGGGTGTTCTTTTATTGGATTTTGAGAGGGAGGAAAGTTGGTCAATGGGATTTTGGTTCCCATTAACCAAGAATTCCATATTCTTTTTTTAGATTTATGGACCCATTTCGTACGTGGGTAAATAACTTTCCCACCTAAGGGGAAGTTATCAACACTTGAATGGGACAAAAGTGCCCCTTTTATGCCCCATTCGCTTTTCGATAAGTCACTTACCTAGGTAAATGCACTTATTTGGGTAAGTGTTTCCTAGCCAGGTAAGTGCATTTACCTATGTTCTTTTATTTCCCATGTAAATAAGGCAATGGCCATCTTAGCCATAAAAATTCTACTAATAAAAGGGCATTTTTGTTCCGTCCAAGTATTGGCAACTTTCCCTAGATGGGAAAGTTAATTTACCCACCTAGGAGATGGGTATCACTTACCCGGGTAAGTGGTACCCAGGAAAATAAAATTTCACTGGTCCCCACATAAATCTGAAAAATGAACATGGGTTTCTTGGTCAATGGGAATCAAAATCCCATTGACCAACTTTCCCCCTCTCAAAATCGAAAAAAAGAACACCCCCTTAATAATAGATTTATATGACTAAAATGGTCATTACCTTATTTACATGAGAAATTAAAAAACATGGGTAAATGCAGTTACCTGGGTAAGTTTTTCCTGAGAAACACTTACCCGGGTAAGTATCTGAAAAGCAAACAAGGCTTTAGGGGGCACTCTTTTTTCATATTTTGTGGGGGGGGGAAGTTGGTCAATGGGATTTTGGTTCCCATTGACCAAGAATCGCATGTTCTTTTTTCAGATTTATGTGGGGACTAGGGAAAGTTTATTTTCTTGGGTACCACTTACCCGGGTAAGTGACACCCATCTCCTAGGTGGGTAAATAACTTTCTTACCTAGGGGGAAAGTTGCCAATACTTGAATGGGCCAAAAATATCCCTTTTAATAATGGTTTTTTATTGCTAAAATGGTCATTTCCTTATTTACATGAGAAATAAAAGAGCATGGATAAATGTACTTACCTGAGTAAATGTTTCCCAGGTAACTGCATTTACCCGGATAAGTAATTTACTGAAAAACAAACAAGGCCTTAATATCTTTTCATCTAATAATTTTAGATGGGGTCATAACAAATTGTACTTTTACGGTTTTATGCTATAGGAAGGGTGGATTGTTAGATCTGATTAGATGGTTCTCCGGTCTTGACAATGTGGATTAGGGTTAGGTGGGAGTTTGAATCTTTAAAATAATAATTTGGCTCTATCGCACCAAATGCCTTTTACAATCTAACTGCAGGGGGGGGGGAGTTGGTCAAAGTTAACCAATTCTTCCGGATTCTTTTATCAATAAAACTAAGATTTAGGTAAAATTATTTTTCTTTAGGCTGCGTTTGGTAGAGGTGTAAATGAGGATCGGGGTAAAATTTACACCTCGGTTCAATTTTGCAGGCATTTGGTAGAGGTGTTAATATATCTCATCAATGGGTGTAAAATTTCATTCTTGTCTATATATTCATCAAAAATCAGTGGAAAGTTTATATCAATAAAATCGATGTAAAACTTTACCTTCCTCTTCCTCTGTCCAACGATTACCTCGCGTCTCCTCTGTCCAACAGCTGCATCTCTTTGTTCGATTGAAGAAGAGAGTGAACCAGTGCGATGGCGGCGGCGTATCATAGTTCCGTCCAGAGAGTGAACCAGCTCCATCGTATCAGTGAGCGGCAACGTATCGGAGTTTGATCAAAGAAGAGAGTATTAGTGATTAGTGAGCATATTAGTGAGCGGTGGCGTTTCAGAGTTCAATCGAAGAAGAGAGTGAACCAGCACTGGTGTATCAGTGAGTGGTTAGCGGTGAGTGGCGAGCAGCGTATCAGTGCAAATCCTACAATCCCCCTCACCAATAAACGGACTAGGAGTCGACATTATTAGTGAGTAGTGAGTGGTGAGTGGTGTATCAGAGTTTCATCCAGACCCAGTTCCGGCGTATCAAAGCTCTAGTAGTGGCGAGCGGCGTATTAGTGCAAATCCTGTCGGTGTACCCATTGAAGCACTACGTAAGATTCACTATGCAGCGGTAAGATTCACTGTGTAAGCATTGCTTGTTCACCTTTTTCTTCCATCAAGACCCAATTTATTCACTTTTAATCAAATAGATTTTTAATTTACACCTTAAAAAACCAAACATGATCCGTGTAAATTTTCAAAATCAATCAATCCCAATTTCCATCTACCACTAAACCGGTTCACATTTTTCCATGGTGTAAAATTTGAATTTACACCTCAAACAAATGCAGCCTTAGGTAAGTTCTTTTACAATTTTCCTGAATCCTTTTATCAGTAAACGTGGAATTTATGGTAAAATTACTTTTCCTTAGATAAGTGTTTTGACAATTTATCTTGGTTATCAATTTTAAGGTATCATGCCTTTTGTATTATGCCTTTTGCAAATTTGAAGTTCCAAACTTCATTTCTCCTTTCCACCACTTGGCTTGAGAACTGTCCAGGCAATAGATTTTTGGCCAATAATGAAAATAAAAAAAAAGTCAAAAATTGTTCTCCAACAGTTCAGGTTTAATAGATTGATAGTTCGATCGCTCGGGTCAATGGGTCACTACCAAGTCAATGGTTTTTGGCCATAAAACGGATTAAGAATGAAACAGAACTAATTGCCTGATCAGTTCCTGGGCTGAATGGTCTGACCAAGTCAATGATGCTCAAAAAAACACTAGTGGAAACAAAGTGATGGAAGGGAGAAATGGAATTTAAAACTTCAAATTTTCAAAATATACCAGCTCCAATAGGAGTCAGTAGTGATAGTAAAACTGGGTTTTTGAAAAAATAAAAGTATCACGTGATGTCATATATAAAGGGAACGTAATTGATAACTGGATAGATAATATGTGCCATATTTACAAAAGTTCAGTGGTGTATAAATAGGGTTTAAAACTTTAGATGTACTTTAATTAATTATTAGGCGTCTGTTTGGCATCGATGCCATTGTTTCAGAAAACGGTGACACATCAGCGCCATGTTGGAAAAAATGGTGCTCCAGAAAACATCTGTTTGTTTGGAACCGTTTTTCCATAAAAAATGATGTTCCAAGCTACGCCTTGGAAATTGGGAAGGCATGGCTTGAAGCAACACCGAATTTGGTGTTTCCTGGAGCTGCAGCTCATTGCTGCCAATAGGGACATGAGGTGGCAGTGATAGGGACATGATGTGGCACGGGATAATAGGTACCAGTGCTGAAAACATTTCATGGAGCATTGGTACCAAACAGAAAATGTTGTTGTTGCTCCAAGAAACGTCCTACCTGATAGCAATGCTTCCAAACAAAAATAAAAAAAAAAAGACAATTTTCTCAGAAAACAGTACTTCTAACCCACACATCAACTGAGAAGACGGTGTTATATCTGCAGCATTAATGCCAATTAACCCTTTGTAATATTATCATCATATTATTTCAAATGTATCAATTTGAAATGATACCTTAAAAATGATAACCAATCAACGAGTGTCAAATAACCAATAAACTGGTTTTATTCCAATTTCACTTGGAGGGGTTTAATTAATTGGTGAAAGTTTTTCAATTATCATATCCTTTTCACTTATAATCTTATCAAAGCACTGACCATAGGTCTCATTTGTTCACAAGATCTATCTCTACCAACAAGACACTACAGCTGTGCATCGTAAATAAACCCTTGTCATTCGTGGGGGATGTTCGAAATAGACGGGGGTAGGTAGGGATGGGGGAAGAGTTTGTGGATAAAAAATCATTAGTAAGAGGACATTTTGGAGATTTTAGCTATAGCATGCCCGATGCCCTAATGAAACTCTACGTGTGCAAAACATGGTGTTTTGAAACGTTTTGATGCAGAACACCTTTTGTGCGCAAAACAAAATGCAAGCTCTGGTGTTTCTGTTTCAAGCTAAATTAAGTCTACCAAAATTTGTTTTGTGTGCACAATGTGGTTTCCAAGGTAACCAAAGGGTAGATAAACGAGAATAAAGGAGCCCAGCCCAACCCGACCCAAAATATCAACATCAAGAGGCAAGAGCGAATAAAAAAACACCGGGGCCCCGCGCAGAGTATTAATTCCTTGTTGACAGGGTTGACAGTGCCCATATTACCATAAACAGATTGGACTAGAATTGTTCTTACAACATACAACCAAGGAATCTTTCACATGGGATGGGAATATGGTTCAGCGTCCCACAATTAACCCACGTGTTCCCTTCACCACCCTAATTCATTATTCGTGGCCAATTTTCATCTAAAAAGCCCAGACCATGCTTCCAGAATAACTGAGTTAGTCTTCCTTGGAAGTTTGAATTGAAAAACCCTAGTTTTCTATGGGCACTTTGCACACTAGTGATTAGTCCTCATCAAAGGAAGTCCAACTACAATGAACCACTCTGAAGTCTACAAGTTTCCTCAGAGGAGAACACGTGGTCCTGCTAGTCAAGGACCGTCAAGGACCGATGTACATCAAAAACTAAAACCCCAACCCAAAAAGTTTATAGCAAATCCATCAACTGTATTCCTTGGTATCATTGTTCTCTTCAACCCAAAACCGAAAACAACCTTAGACGGAGACCAATTACTTAAATATTATTGGAAAATTTGGTGTAATATAGGTAACCCATCCTCTAACTATGATGTAGACGGAATTCATCTCAAGTCTCCATTATAATTAATAGGAGACCTTACCCGTTGGCACCTTGCAGAATTTGGTGTAATAAAAGAGGTAATCAATCAAGGGGCATTTGATACTTTTGATTGGTCAAATTTCTTCCCATACTATATCTTTCCAGTATCATAAATTTTCCCATAATATGTATGTACACACTCCACTTTTAATAATCCTTTTTATCAAGTTCAGAAATGACAAGCGACATTACTCGCTCATTATCGTCATCCACCTTCTCCCTGTTACGCGACTCCCAATTTACTATTTGGTTCTATTTAATGCTATATTAATTATTAAATTACAAGCAATTAATTCATTTTTTACTATTTTGACTCGACTTCAATAATTTGATTTGTTAATATGGTGTATTTCCTCACAATAAACCTGTCTTGAAAGTCTCACAATTGCTCAGACACGGCTCAGTCCATTGGCAACCCTGCCCTATATCACTCTTTTCCTATTAATTAATATATTAGCGGCACCCGTGCAATGCATTGAAAATTTTGAAAGATTGAATAAGTTTATTTACTATTTATTAATTAATAAGTTAATAATGAAAATTTGTTGTTAATTAATTAAATGTATTTAAATTATTGTTAATATTTAAAATTTTAATAATTATATTTTTTATTTAATGTTGATTTACAGAAAATAATAATTGTTAATTTAATATGAATAAATATTTTTTTAATAAATTTAGTTTTATTAATCATTTGTAGTAATTTTAATAACTGTTATTATTTTTAAATGAAATTTTGGTTGACTTTAAATAAATAAAAATAATTACAAAAGATAACATTTTTATTAATTTCATCAATAATTAACAATTATGTAGGAAATGACAATGGGTCGGGTTCGGGGCAGAACACCCTATCCCTATCCCATGCCCTGTAATCAAAACACTTTACCCCATTCCTGTACCATCCCCAATGTCAGGCAGGTTCAGGGCAAGAAACCCATTCCCCGTTAAGGACGAGAAATTCTCAAATTTCCCCGCCCCGTCCCCAATGTCAAATAGGTTGAGGGCAAGGCCCTCACTCCCCGTTAGGGACGAGGAATCCTCAAATTTTTCTGCGGGTGAGCTCAAGGAAAGGCACCCACTCCTCGTCAAGGAAGGAAAATCCTTGAATTTCCCTACCCTGTCCTTAGTGTTGGGTGGGTTCATGACAAGGCACCCACTCCCCATCAACCCAATATTCAATTTGATGATAAAAATGATCAAAATGATATATTGAGTTTCAGCCACATGTTAAATTTATAAAAATACACTAAATTGTCTTTAATTTTCAAAAATGTAATTTTATGAAAATCTATTACATTTGTGTAATGGCCTAATGGAAGTGGTAGGAAGGGGAGAGAGAGAGAGTCAAGGAGAATGCAGGGTGGGGGTAATGGAACAAGGAGATGCATATAAATAAATAAAAGGTTTAATAATACAAAATACAAGGTTTTGCATTATACATATTTGTTATTTAGGCATGAATAGAGTGCACTGCACCTCAGAATTCTGAATTCCATTCCAGACCTACAGCAATTTAAAATTTCAAATTGTGAGGGTGGACTGAACAGTAAAAGCCTCTTGTATTTATACTCTTCTCTAATTGAGTTAGGATTCTTGTCAATTTAGTTGAGATTTTGCATTACACAAGTACAAACGCCGTCCAGACACTAGATTCATTGCTTTTGGCTATGTTCTGTACTTCTCTAAAGGGATCGATGCAAAGCAAAAATTTACACCCATGAGGCTCAGTTTGGAAGGAGTACAAATACAAATATGTACAATACAAATACATACAAAATAATATAAAGACTTAGTTTGGAAGGAATGCAAATACAAATATGTAGGATACAAATACATACAAAATAATAGAAAATGTAAGGTTTTTCACTCTACATATTTGTATTTATACTTGGTTTTGTACTCTATAAATTTGTATTTATACTTCTTTCAAACTGAGCCTAATGAGCAAATTAGACGACTAACATTTTCATGAGAAAAAGAGTTTTTTGATGAGGAATAGAAATTTATAGCGAACAATCCCATAAACCATGAAACGAATCTTTTTGGACATGGATAGATTCAAAAGGAATCATTTTATAGTGAAAGTCGCCTTTTTAGATTTAAAAAATTCAAGTCAGACTATATCGAAACGGGTAGCCTTACAGTCGTGATGCATTGGGAAGCGTTTTATTTTTTCATGGGAAGATATTCCCAATGTATGGCTGTAGGCGAGAGGTAGGTGTGCAACATTGCAACGTGGCCTGGCTCTGTTTGGGCTTTTGTCAATATTTGGAAATTTGAATGGACGCAGCCCAAAGGCTCAGGCCCAAATATTCGAATGGGCGCAGCCCAAGGACCCCTGATTGGTAACGTTCCTTCGCGCTTCTGAAAGCGATCGAGATGTGTAGACAATTGCTGGTACACCAAACACCTCTTGGCTCCAGCACAGATCCGGACTGTTTGCAGCCGGGGAAATTAGGATCTACCATCTTTCATTTCCTTATCCAACGATCCAATATTTGGACAATCAAATTCAAACAATACGAACCCTTTAGACTTTAGTTTAGTCCCCTGCCCCAGGGAAAATAAAACAAACCAAACCGAAACGAAAGCCCTCATACAATACAGTACGCAGAGAGGGAAAGTGAGGAACAGAGAAGAGAGAGATGATCAAGATTTAACTCTTCAACATCTCTTCCCTTGTTTTTCCTCTTCTGACTTCAGAAGCTCCTCTAACAACTTGTCGTCCAAATACTCAAACTCGATAACCTGCTTTTCTCCACCCGTAGCCGTATCAACAGTTTCAGAACTGGGAGCAGAAGAAAATGATGAAGAAGCATCATCAGGAGCGGCTGTGCTATGAGATTGGTATTCGTTGGGGAAGTTCAGAATTGCCAAATGGCCCTTCAACGCAAAGGCCGCTCTGTCGTAGGCACGCGCAGCATCTTCTGCATTCTCGAACGTTCCGAGCCACAAACGAGCACCAGGCCGAGAGGGGTCACGTATCTCTGCTGCGAACTTCCCCCATGGCCGGCGACGAACCCCTCTGTATCGAACATCCACCTTTTCCATCTGTTTCATCTTTCCTCTCCTTTTTGGCGCTTCAATCTTCCATTTGCATGTTTTGTTACAATAACAAAAGTGCTTTTAAAGCCTGTAATGTCTACTACTCTTTCAAATCTGGTGGGAACAAATTCGTCTTTCCTTTGGCGTTTCCGGGACCCGGAAAAAAGTTTGGGCCGGAATTCTTAATGGGTCTTATCTGACGGTTAGAATCTAACTTAGACGTGGTTAAACAAATGTTGGTAGGAACTAGGAAGCTTCCATTTCTATTGGATTGGTCAAAGATTTTGATTCCATTCAAGTCAAAACCCTTTTCAAATATCAAACCCGCCCCCCGACCCCGACCCTCCTTTTTTGCTTTTAGAAACCAGATTGGTGTGGATCGACTCCAGTCTCCACTCCCACCCCAACGGCCAAAGTTTTGTGCACAGCTTAAGCATACATCAAAGAGAAATAACTGTCAACCGTCAAACAATGCACAGGAGGAGAGGGTGTACACTGAACGGAGGGGGTTTTCGAGCGATGCAAAACCCTCTCTCTAATTGGTGTACACAGGAGGAGAGGGTGTAACCTTACAAAGAGATTTGAATCGTTTGCTTAATTTCACCTCGGGCTCGGGATTCCGGTTGTTGGCAAAACCCTCTCTCTAATTGGTCGGTTCGGTGTTTTTAAAAATCCGAAGGTAATGGTTCGGTTTCAGTTACCAATATAAAAAACCGGAGGTTAACTGAACCGACCGTATACATATATTTTTATATATTATATTATATATATATATATATATTATTTTATATATTATAAATTAATAAATATGCATTATAATATATATTTATAATATTATATATTATTTATTATTTAAAATATAATATTATATATATATATATTATTTTTTATTATATATTTATATATATTGTTATAATATATATTGTAAAAACTAAAAAACTGAAAAATCAACGAACCGAATTGACAGTTAATCGAATCGGTCAATCGGTTAACCGACTAGTTTCGGTTTGATTCTGGTTACCGGTACTACCAGTTTGGTTCAAGAAAATGCCCCACTGTTCGGTTAACCAAACTGTGAGCACCCCTACTAATTGGCTACAAAATGCATTTTAAATTTGTTATTTGGCTAATTGCAAGGCTTTCAAAACCACTATTGACCCAAAAGGTTGGACCATTTGGCCTAGAAATGGTCAGATCAGGGTATTGGTTCCGTTTAGACCTGTTAATGGGTCGGGCTGGGCTCGGGCCGAGCTTTGCCTCTTTATCAATAGAAAATGTGCAGGTCCGAGCCCAAAGCCCGACCTATATACAAAATGTCTTATTTTCAATGTACTTTTATAAACTCATATTATATTAATTTAGTAATAATTTAATAAATCAATAAACTAATTTGTAATTTCTAATAGTAAATTAATATTTATTAATAATTTAATAAACAAATATATATTATATATATTTATTATATATAACATAAATGCTTTTTATTATATGTAATAGTATTAGGTCAAGCTCGAGCTTGGGCTGGGCTTATTTGAGAAAGCCCGAGCCCAGCCCAAAAAATAGTTGGGCCTGATATTTAAAGCCTGATCCTGAGCCCGCGGGCCTGGAGTTTTGTCCAAGCCCAAAAAATAACGGGCCAGGCCAAGCCATCCGACTACACCGCCCATGAATAAGTCTACTTCCATATCACCCCGAATCATTTGAAATCCTGTTAAATTAGCTAGTGGCCTACTAACTCAGGTGGTCAAACCATCGAGTCGAATAATGGTTTTCTGGCCAAAATTTTATTTTAATTATTATAATATTTTTTTAAATGTTGTGAACTGATCCGTTTAGACTAAACGGGTTTGAACTAGTGGCCTATTGACACGGGTGGTCAAATCATTGAGTCGAATAATGGTTTTCGGGCCAACATTTTATTTTAATTATGGATAAATCTCTTAAACTATCCCTATTGTTTAGCATAATGACACACGATAGCCCTATTATTTAGCTATTGGCTTGGGGTACCCTTAAATTTTCTAACAATTGACTAGCTCTACCCCTGTCGTTAATATGCGTTAATGTTCCGTCGAAATTCAAACACACGTGACACCACATGATGTATGATTTTTTTTCAAAACCCAATTTTGTCCTTCACCATCCCTCTCCCCAACGGCAGCTACAACGAACCACTCTGCAACCGTTCCACTCCCTGTTTCTCTACAGCCATCGCCACCACTGTCGTCGTCTGTATCTGACCACTTTCACCAGTGACTTCTTCTTCACCCTCTTCCTTTCCCTCTCTCTCCTCATTGAACTGAAACAATGACTGAAAACTTCACTGTTCACCTTCATCTCCATCATCATCTGTCGTTTTAGATGCAGGAGAGAACAATGATATGGAACAACGAAACCGACGGGGATTTCTAGTAAGGGAGGTTCTAGGCGGAGGAAGAGAGGGAATAGTGTACCCAACTCAGTCGAGGCTGATCTCAGTGATGTTGGGTCCAGCCCATTATGGGATATTGACCCATGTTATAGCCCATCCTACTTCAGCCCACTATTTTTTGCCTTCAAAAAGAAAAACAAAAAAAACTAGGGTTATTATCAAATTTGCGCGCGGCGTGTTGAAAAGAGAGAGCAAAAGAGAGAAATCGAAATACTGTGCAGATTTCTCAGAGTGCAGAGTTCATCAAACGGCCGGAACTTTCCGATCCACCGTCCGATCGAGCTGAAATTTGGAAAGTAACTGGAGAACTCATCTTTCCTCATTCTGAACGGTCGGATCGTTGATCAGATCTCTGAATCGTCGGTTATTTGAGGTCGAACAGAAGAAACTCGCAATTGGTCGGGAAAATAAAACATCTCACGGCAGTTTTCATCAATTACTCTGATCAATGGCCATTTGTGGTCCGATTTAGCTGAAATTTGGTGGGCGTTTTCGAAACTCATAGACCTACGATCTGAACGGTGGAGATCGGATTTGGAGTAGTGGAAGTCTCTATGTTGTGGCCTGAACAGTAGCCGCGTTTGTGAGTTTTTCAGACTGTTCTTTTCATAGTTTTTGGTATTCTCGTGTGTATGTTTGAGAATTTGTATTTGCTCTAAATTTGTGAGCATATTGTGGTATTTGAGTTGCTGTAATTGTTACCTCAAGTTATTAGTGGAGATTTTTTGTTGGGTCTCCTTGGCCCCGTAGTTTTTACCCTTCACATTGGAGGGGTTTTACACGTTAAATATCGTGTCTCTCTTTGCTTGGCTTATGATTGTTTTTTGTTGATAATTTGCTTGGAATTGTGCTACCTGAATATCTACAAGTTTTTTTTTTTTTGGAAGAGAATTAGTTTGTGGATTTGTTTGATTGCATGATGGAGCCTAATTATGGTAGAATGATTAGTTTGAATGGCACCAATTACCACAAGTGGAGAGGAAAAATGAAGGATCTACTATTTGTGAAAAAGTTACATTTACCAGTTTTTGCTACTCAAAAACCTGAAAATAAATCTGATGAAGAATGGGCTTTTGAGCATGAGATGGTTTGTGACTTTATTCGACAATGGGTAGATAATAATGTTTTGAATCATATTGCTAATGATTCACATGCCAGAACCTTGTGGGATAAGCTTGAGACTTTGTATGCCTCTAAATCTGGGAACAATAAATTATTTCTGTTGAAACAGRCTATGAATTTGAGGTACAAGGAAGGTACTCATATTTCTAATCACATAAGTGAATTTCAGGGGTGCTTTGATCAATTGTCCGACATGGGTATTTGAAGGTGAAATTTTGGGACTTTGGTTGTTTAATAATCTACCTGACTCTTGGGAAAATTTACACGTGACTTTGTCCAGTTCTGCTCCTGGTGGTATAGTGACCTTGAATATGTAAAAACTGCTGTTTTGAATGGAAAAGTCAGACGACGAACTTAGCAAGCATCCTCTTCTCAATCAGAGGTTTTGATTATTGAAAACAGGGGGAGAAGCAATGATAGAGACCAAGGACAAGGTAGTAGAGGTAAAATTAAGGCTAGAAACAAATCAAGGTCTAAGTACAAAAAGGGACATATCAAAAGATTTTGTTTTCAGTTGAAGAAAGGGCAATAAAGGTAACAAATGTAAGCAACAAAATAAAGATAATGACAATGATGATCGTGTTGCCACCACCACTGCAGGTGATCTTGTGATTGTCTGTGATGAGAATTTGATTAATGTTGCTTGTGATGAGACAAGTTGGGTTGTTGACAGTAGTGCCTGTTTTCATGTTACATCGAGAAAGGATTTTTTCACATCTTATACTCTAGGTGATTATGGGGTTTTAAAGATGGGTAATACTGGTTTGTCAAAGGTGATTGGCATTGGCACTATTTGTCTAGAAACAAGTAATGGGACTGAATTGATTTTGAAAAATGTCAGACATGCACTAGGCATTCGTTTGCATCTGATTTCTACCAGTGTTCTTGATGATGATGGTTATGTTAGTACCTTTGGTAATGGACAGTGGAAACTCTCTAAAGGTTCTTTGGTTGTGGCACGCGGAAAGAAGTGTTCTGGTCTGTACTGGACCAAAACTTCAGTTTTCATTGATGGTGTGAATGCAGTTGAGTGTGATAACCCATCAGTGTTATGGCACAAGAGACTTAGCCACATCGGTGAGAAGGGACTTGATTGTTTGGCCAGGAAGAATCTACTTTCAGGTTTGAAAGGTGCAATGTTAGAAAAGTGTGCTCATTGCTTGGTTGGGAAACAAAATAGAGTCTCTTTCAAGAGCCATCCTCCCTCTAGGAAATCAGAGTTGCTTGAGTTGGTGCATTTAGATCTCTGTGGTCCGATGAAGACAAAAACATTGGTGGTGCACTTTATTTTGTTACTTTTATTAATAATCATTCAAGGAAACTTTTGGTTTATCTCTTGAAGAGTAAAAACAGGTACTTGGTGTCTTTAAGCAGTTTCAGGCTTCTATTAAGAGGAAAACAGGGAAGAAACTGAAATGTATTCACACTGAAAATGGTGGTGAATATTGTGGACCATTTGATGAGTACTGCAGGCAGCAGGGTATTAGACACCAGAAGACGCCCCCTAAGACTCCTCAGCTTAATGGCCTAGCAAAGAGAATGAACAGGACGTTGATGGAGAGAGTTAGATGTTTGCTTTCAGAAGTAAAGTTGCCTAGATCTTTTTGGGGTGAG